CCATGATAATGTTCCAAGAAGCACTACATCTTTGTTCACAGATGTTATACACATTACTCTGGAATCAAACTATGAATAAAGCATAAAATAAACGGCATGACAAACAGACAAGATGGATGAAATGATGATCATGTACATGCAGCACATTGAGAACAGTCATCCTTCTGTGAGACTTGTATGAACTGCTCTGCGATCTCCTGCTTTCAGTGATGCCCTCCAGAATACCAGTGTTCCTCTGCAAGCAAGGCTCCTGTATTTCTTCGTTGTTGAGTTGTAGAAGCCATTGACTGTCACCCATCTCTACATCCTGGAACTGTGAGTTATCACCAATGCACACTTCCCTAAGCAATCCCCTATTTTAGTGACTTTATTCATTGTATTTTCCTGTGCTTTGTTTCTTGTAATTATTTTGAGCTTTAACTTGATATTTTGGTATACCGGGTATGTGTATTTCATTTCCAGTACTATTGTCTTGTCTACCCCATACAGTACTGTTCTTGCGAAAGCTTTGGCTTCACTTCAGCTTCACCTTCGCTTCAGCATTGCATCATTATGGCATTGTTATGGCTTCAGCATCGCATCAATGTCGCGACATTAAAAAGTTAGGCGGTTATCGCTTCGCTTCATTGTGGCCTCATTATGGCGACAATGTGGCATCAGCATCACTTCATCAAACAAAGATGTACAGAACTCATTTCGTCCAACCTCTCGCTCGCTTCCGCTTTTCAATCGCTCGCTTTTGCGACCGCTTGTTGAATTTCCGCTTTATTTTCGACTGTGCACAAATTCGGACTACTAACAATTTTCTGGTTTTCATAGATCACGGTTACTAGTTTAGTAACCGTGCATAGATGTTGAACAACCGTCAAAAGTTCAAATACTTTTTGTTTTAACTATCTATAAGTATATGCACGCAATCTGACCCTTTGACCTAGATTTAGCTGGGATTGACTATTTTATTTTAAACAATATTCTGACGTGACACACTGCTACAAGATGTATTTCAAGAGAAGTACGACATGGTTGTCTAGGTTTCTTTTCCTGACTGTGTTGAGTTTACGATTTGTATAATTATTGTTATTTCCCCCAAGAAGACAAGCCGAATGACTATGAAGCTAAATATAAGTCCCACGCATGGACTGAGTGAAAGAAAATATTTCTAAGGCTAAAATAAAATCTAATATCTCTTTGTGTATTTGTCAATTTTGCATATATTTGGTATGACAGTATGTTCGTAAATATCTAGAAAAATCTCGTCTTTCGTTAATAATTTCATTTGTTTGAAATGTCTACCTACTGTGTCCCAATAATTTGTTTCACGGTTTGGAATATCGATCCCAGTTGGTTTCTCCAAACGGTGCCGACGTCCGTTATTCAACACAATCAGCATTTATTTATCACATTTATTTATTCATGGGGATCATGTCTCGTAATTTGCAGGCTGTAAAACCAACTAATTAAACAAGTACTATTTATTATATATTTTTTTTACCTTAACAAAGCGAAATCGATGGAAATTCAATTATCTATTTCTCACCTTGAAATAAAATAAAAAAATTCGAAGAGCATCGGGGGTTATATTGATAACCAGTCTTACCAATCGCTAGCTTTATTTTATTCAGTCAAATCCAAGTGCTATTTGATTTTTTACAGGGCATGTGGCTCGTTTTTATTCGAAAATATTTGTTGTGAGAATACTTTTAAAGTACGTATAGATCTAGCTCAGGTTGAAAATTGGATGTAAAATTTTACCAGACCGACGCCACCACAACCATCCAATCATAGTTAGAAATGTACGCACTTGTTTTGGAACTTTGTATCAAGATGGCAGGCGACAACGCCGGCGCACCAGGCAGCGTACGTGTGTTTTGCATGTATTAGTAGTTCGGGCATGGGATCAGACTCTGCTAAAACTAAACGAAACACAGAAAAATACCACGAAATGAGGAATCTGAATCTGTTCTCTTACCAGCAAATAAAATGAACGAAAATAAGGCAATTTTATAACAAGAAAAGTTTCATTTCGTATAGCAAATTGAGTTGTATCCGAACGACGATTGCATCGTGTGATTTAAATTTATCAAGATTTTCCTTGCAGTCAATATGACACTCGTCACTTGCAGATTGCAAAGTACTTCCCAAAGTTTTTGGTACCCAATACTCGCAACATTAAATAATTAAACAAGATATCTTTTTGAAATGTCATTTTACTCTTGGTCATATTATTTGATTTCCCTTACCGCCTTGAATTTCAAATCGATTACATATCGAACTTCTGTACATGTGTTTTTCTCTACTGCCTTTTCGTGTGAAAATAATGAGGTCATACTCATGTCGCAATACTTTGAAGCTGATGCCATGTTGATGCCATGAGACTGCGAAGCTGAGACCACAATGATGCCACAAAATAAGCAAGGCGAACACAGCTTCAATTTTCAAAGACGCGAAGCTGATGCCACAATGATGCAATGCTGAGGCGACAATGAAGCCATGTTAGGCGACAATGATGCCACAAAAGCCAAAGCTTTCGCAAGAACTGTACTGTACTAGCAGTGAAAGAACCCCCTGTCCAGTGTGAGTTCTGTGGGTGCCCTCTCATTAGCGATAAGCAGGCCTTACACTGTGACAAAAACACTGTATTAAAACTGCTTCAAGTTCATGAAACAAACAGATCGTTAGGAATATTAACCCTTGGAAAGCCAAACTTTTTTCATATTTTTTTTTAAATTTCAGTTAATAAGAGTAGCTGAATAAAAATTATGCCCAATTAGCCAAAAATTAATAAAGAATTCACAGAGAAATAAGTGAAAATGGTCAAAATGTTAAGAGGAATAATTGTGGGTTGAAAGGTCACAGAAACTTTCACGAAATTCAATTGAATATCCACAAACTATAAAATTACCCAATTAGTAGCAGTGAAAATAAGCCGATATTTCATTCACTTTCATGAAATGCAGTGATTTCTTTTCATTTTCACATTGATCAACTACTTAAAAAATTGATAATATTATTTAACAAATACTCACCTGCAAAGAAAGTTTTTCTTTTTCTGCATCATGGAGGTTGACTTCACATATGCATGCTTCATTCTGTTGTCCTTGACATACCCACAGGTTACCTATAAATATATTTATTGATTGATTGATTGGTCGGTCGATCGATCGATTGATTGATTGATTGATTGATCGATCGATTGATCTTTACCTGTCTTATAGACAACTGCTTAATTGTGTATTTGCTTTTTCTGACTGCATCACTGTTTGCCATGATTTAGTTTGACCTTTACCTGGTTTATAAACCACAGCACATTCCATGGCTTGAGCATTTGCTTTCTCTAATTGCTGCGCTGTTTGCCATAATTTGTCGGTTTCTTCTCGGTCTCGTTTTTCTTTCTCTCTTACAAGGAAGAATGTGTTCAATTTCTCCGCATGGAAATACTGTTTCTTTGCAATATAATCTTTGTCTGGAAAAGGGTTGAGTTCTTCATAGGCAGCCTGCAGCAACAAAAATATTACGTATTACATATTTCCTGACTTTAAGTGGAGGGGTTATCACCTGTCCACACATAGAAGTCTTAAGAAAAGACAAAGCATACTAAAAATGCAAAAGCTCATGGGTAGATACTTATTTGTAAATAATAACATGCTATGGCCTTCTGTATGACTCCCCTGAAATATAACATTAAGTGTATAAAAAACACAATTTCATAACCTCCACTTACCTTCACTAATCCATCAGCTCAAAGCTAAACTTAGCAATTGATTTCATAAGCACCACTAACCTTCACTAATCCATCAGCATCAAAGCTAAACTTAGCAATTGATTTCATAACTACCACTAACCTTCACTAATCCATCAGCTCAAAGCTAAGCTTAGCATCAATTTCATAACCACCACTAACCTT